CCCTGTGTACCCCCTCCCCCCCTCCTCCCTCCTTTCTACGTGACTTGTGTTGGGGAGTCTGGAGATAGGGGTGCTGACCTCTCTAGTTCCTCCGATAGCCGTCGATTTTTCTTGGCCTCTGTTGACGGTGAGGTTTGGTCTCATGCTGGATTCACAGGTTGGCCTTGTTTCAAGAGGTTCGTGTGTCACTTTGCCACAAGGCTTGTACATCGCAAGTGTTGGAAACCGGAGAAAGCGTCAGCTGGCTGGGCGTGGCTAACTGAGGAAACGGAATTCTGGTGGGGTGTTTTTGTTCCTCGTTGCCCGTATGACACGCATGGTGCTTACATCAGGGACTCTTAAAAGGTTCGAATGGTCTATGTTGGCCCTTGCCCTCATGTGTCGATTCTGATTTGATGACACGGCATGACTGTTATTGCCAGATTTCTGGGTATGGCTCGAAGGGAGAGGAGCTACAGTAGTCAAATCAACAAGTTTGTCGTCCTGCTGAAAGCGTACCTTTCTTCTCTGGACGTGGATGGTCGGGTGTGTAGTAGCAATCTGGCGTCGTGCGGCAAGGGTGTCGGTGCGAAGCGTCATTTTTTCTAGTCTGCCTCAACTCGTGCTGTAAGATGGTTGAGCCGACTAATTTGTGCGAACCTGGCCCCGACATGTTGGTCAGCACGAGCACCAACGGTCGGCCGGCGCCCGTTGCCTGCGTTGCGGCTTTTTATTTCGCTTTTTGTCAAATCTCTGTTCAGTTGTTGGGTGTGCCGGCGTTTGCATTACACCACCGCAGCGCTTCGCGGGGCCGGTGGGGTCTACATCTATGTTGTCACATGTTTTGCGTCGAATACAAAAAATAGGTCGAGTTGAAAATAGCGAGGGATTGGTTAGTTGGCGTGCATTGCACCGCTTGTGCTTCGTAGGTTTGGGCACGGCCAGCGGGTAGCCAAGTTATATCGGGGGGGGGGTGNGTTATATCGGGGGGGGGGGGGGGGGGGGGGGCTAAAAGACCGAAAATTACGGTTCGGTAGAGAGGGGAAAGATATATTACTGCTGAGCGGGAAAGCGGTGTGGTGCTCATGTACAAGCAAACAAGGACACGAAGAAGACCGAAACCTAGCCGTTGATAGCGATTCCGATATTTAAATGTTTGCGAGAAGCTTGAACATGCCTGCGAATCGAACAATGCTTGCCTACTTAGCAGGCGTTCTCCAGCGAAGGAAAGCTGGGCTGGGTTTTCGCATGGCAAATTCAATTGTTTTGCATGCCCTCCACGAATTTTCGTCTCTTCCCGCGGCCTTCTCATAGTCATGCCCCCTCTCCAACAAGCTCTCCGTGAATTTTTTTATCATCTCTGCGCGCGGCCTATTGGTAGTCATTTGACACGCTGCCTTTGGCACTCTGTGGCAAGCTCTCCACGGATTTTCATCTATGCATGCGGCCTACTCGTCGCCGTGCCAAATCTTCGGCAGTCATTGTGTCGACGAGTGTTCATGCGCACGTGGTCAAGCAAGTTCACGTTCCATGCGCCCCATTTCTCTTTTTTCGTTCTTCCAGCTGCCTGATTCAGAAACGCGCAGGATGTTGCTGCCATCCCACACTATTTGCACTTCCGGACACGGGTACTTGTAACAGTGTTGGGATGACTGGTCTTGTGGGCGAACCATGATTTATCCTTCCCCGGGGGCCCCTTACGGCGCAAGTCACGGCAAAACGGTCTGCATTTTTTTGTGCTCTGTCCGACGGGAACAATTTCGATGAAAACTAGTCAAAGGATGCCCCCGCTCGATGGCGGCGTAAGAAGGGGTGTTCTCAGCATCATTTTGCCTTCCGATGGTGCACCCCCGTGTGTGCTCACAGCAGCAACACACCGTGCGCCAAGAACCCACGAAATTGGGGGAGTATAAGTTTTCCGTAGTTGAGCCAGCTTTCTCGTGTGCGGACGTGTGGACGAGAGCACCTGGGATCGATCTTACGTTGTCTCAAAAGATAACAAGGACTAGGCATCCCTTTGTCGTGCGTGTTCAATGTTGCTTGCACGCGTGCCGCGAGGAGTGTTTTGGGAGTGCGACAGCCTCGAGGGCAGGCACCCACCGCATCGCTTCGGTCACAACAGGCATCACGATAGCAGCCAAGAATAATTTCTACTGACACCGTTGCCCACATCATTGTGAACGTGTTGCGCAGGCACGATCAAAACGGCGAAACAACGGCCTGCGCTTTCGACCCAGCTGCTGTTCGAAACCCTCCTGTGCATACGTGGGCGGCGAGAAAAATCATTGCATGTCCTCCTTTCGAGTCCATACCATCTCACTCCACAAGGCAGAGTTCGGGCGCGTGCATCGACAACGTAGAAAGACGCATACACCGAACTATTGCAAAATGAAGAAATGAAAAAAACCGAAAATCAGACCTGACTCTTTCCGCCCCTACATTGTTGGCCTTCCTTCATTTCCATCTTTTTTCGTCTTCGCTTCAACTCGGTGCTCACAGCACTTGTGCCGTTTTACTTTAACCCGTGGTCACACATAAGAATTCCTCTCTGTGAGGCCCACTCCCCTCCCCTCCTGCGGTGCTCCGAGTGCGGCACTCTCGTTTTTCTTGTGTATACACGAAGTAGCGCTTTCCACCCAGGCCAGGAACGGAAGCGAGAGAAAAACTCACACCTTCGCTTTGCAAGAAAAGCTCGCTTACGCTGGGATTCGAACCCCTGACCCTGGCCGCTAGAAGGTTTACAAGGATACCCGACTAGAGTAGCGAGGCGACCACGAATAGGAGAGAGCAATGCCAAGACGAATCCTGTCATCCAACCAATCCAACAAACGGTACATTTCATGCACCCATGTACGTGCGCACCGCCAATACTACAAGATAATACCGTTCGTCAGTTCAAGAGCATAGACTGCGGACTTGTACTTCGTACTTAGTGAGGACCGGGCCAAAAGTGACCTACTGCAAGCAAAGATATGCTCTTGTCCGGGGTGCAAGCAGAAAACTACAGCGTTCGAACTGCACGCCATATTTTCCACTTGTGCATGCACACGAGTCATCGAAGCAATCTTCGTGTCAAGCACAAAGCTCCGCAAGACAAGTCCGTCATTAAAACAATGGTTCGTTTCATGCACATACATGTGTGCACATCGCCGATTTCACTAACAGCGTAGCCGGCCGCGTTCAAGATCTTTCCCGCAGGCACAGCACCGAGAAAAAAGCACCCAAGACACTCCGACCCACCCTCGACATACGTCCAAACCCAAATTTTGCGAGGCTCCAACTACTTGTGCGTGTGCAAACCTTGTAGAATGCAATACCTCCAACTGCTTGTGAGTGTGCAAAACCTTGTAGTATCCAATGCCTCCCTACTGAATCTGTCCTCCTTTGAGTCCTCGCTGATCTCCACACCCCTCGCCAGCTACGGTGGTAGGATACCCGACCTGTTCCTTCCCAACAACCCTACAATACCAATGTCCTGCCCCCCCCCCCCC